AGGTATAATCCCAGGTATAATACCAGGTATAATACCAGGTATAATCCCAGGTATAATCCCAGGTATAATCCCATGTATAATACCAGGTATAATCTCAGGTATAATCCCAGGTATAATCCCAGGTATAATCCCATGTATAATACAAGGTATAATCTCAGGTATAATCCCAGGTATAATCCCAGGTAAAATCCCAGTATAGTCCCAGTACAATCCCAGGTATAATCCCGGGTATAATCCCAGGTATAATCCTAGATGTAATCCCAGGTATAATATCCAAGGTATAATCAAAGGTATAATCCCATGATTTAAACTTTCAAACAAATGTAGAACATTTTTTATGTAGTTTCTAGATTGAGCAAAATTCAGGGTTAAATAAACTGTAGCAAAAAAGTAGTTTTTAATTTAGGAACCTGGGGTTGACGCACTCATGGCAAACATGCTCAGGTTAGAGCTTAAAGGGACTGTTGACGAAATAATTTAATAGTTGTATGCCCAATTCACAACGGTACCCTAACTGAATCTTTGTATAAAGAAAAAAAACTTGATCAATTTCCAGCATTGTCTATGCTGCATAAATCCGTACTTTTAAAGAAATCTTTAAGTTTAAGATTGTCAATTTTCAGAAAGAAAACAATGAATTTCAATCATTTTGGTTTATACAAACGTTTCTGCAATAAAGACTGAAAAAAGGAAATATATTTATTTGGTCAGGGTACTGTTTTGAATTATTGGTGACGAACATAACATAAGTTTAAAAGTAGCATGATCCGAACCGGTACAAGTAATAAGGATCCGAACCAGTACAAGTTATAAGGATCCGAGCCAGTACAAGTAATAAGGATCCGAACAGGTACAAGGAATAAAGATCCGAACCAGTATAAAGAATAAGGATCCGAACCGGTAAAAGGAATAAGGATCAAACCGGTACAAGTAGTAAGGATCCGAACCAGTACAAGGAGTAAGGATCCGAACCATTACAAGTAATAAGGATCCAAACCGGTACAAGGAATAATGACCCTAACCTGTACAAGTAATAAGGATCCAAACCAGTACAAGGAATAAGGATCCGAATCGGTACAAGTAATAAGGATCCGAACCAGTACAAGGAATAAGGATCCGAATCGGTACAAGTAATAAGGATCCGAACCAGTACAAGTAATAAGGACCCGAACTGGTACAAGGAATAAGGACCCGAACCGGTACAAGGAATAAGGATCCGAACCAGTACAAGGAATAAGGATCCGAACCGGTACAAGGAATAAGGATCCGAACAGGTACAAGGAATAAGGATCCGAACCAGTACAGGAAATAAGGATCCGAACCCGTACAAGGATTACCTGGTGTAGTGTTAGCTCGACTAGTACGTACTAAGTATGTGTGGTACCCAATGTTTGTTTGAGCCAGCGGATTTTATGCAACAAAATTAGTCGGGCGAAAGTGGGAGGAACTACAGTGACTTAAATCCTTCTTGTAGACTTCAGTATTTTAACATGTTAAAGTTGATTTTTTTAGGATATCTGGATCCATCGCAACACAGAAAATTGATAAAAAAGTAGGAATTTACTAAATATTTAGATTGAGTTACTGTAAGCGAAATCTAAAGGATATAATACTAATTTTAGGGGTGTGCACAGGAACGTCCAGATGGGGGCTCAAACTTTTTTCTTTCGGGGAGCTTAACAACCGATGGGTCCTGAAAACCCCCTGGAAACAATAATTTCACCGATAAGGGGGGGGGGGCTAAGCCCCCATATAATCGCCGACCATGCACTGTGTATTTATTATAAACTATCTTTTAACAAATTGGGAATTTTTATTTTTACATTTTTTTAAAAACACAATATTAAGCAACTAGAAATAAATATAACTAGCTAAAGTGCCCAGCGGTGCCCGTGGAATAAAAAAAAAGAATTTTAAATGAAAAACAAATTCGATTGTTTTAGCCTTTAATACCCACATGACGGGCTGTAGGTATAAAATGCCCCAGTTTTATAAAATAAAAGTATATAGTGTCAAGTTCTAAGGTAGTGAGATTCATGAAAAAAATAAAAAGTGAGATACCCCTTTAGACTATGTCTTGTTTTATTAATTTTACTTTTTCCTGCTTTTTTCCTTACATACACTCATCTTCGTGTAAATCAATACAATGAAGATGACTTTCTATTTTTGATTTAGATTTCTACCAAGCTTTCAAACAGCAGAGACATATTGACATGAAAGGAAAAAAGTTGTAAATTAATAATATTAATAGCTTCTCTTTGTTTCCTTGTAAACGCTTGACTAGGATTTAAAGCATTATTAATAAAAAGTCGTCTTCGAAGTTTTATTTTTACATTTTTTTTAATCACAATATTAATCAACTAGTAATATATATAACTAGCTGAAGTGCCCGGCGGTGCCCGTGGAATTTAAAAAAAAATGAATTTTAAATGAAAAACAAATTCGATTGTTTTAGCCTATATTACCCAAAGGGTACCCATGACGGGTTCCCTATAAAAAGAAATTCAGCCAATTTGGTCCAGCCGTTTCGCCAGCTTTAGCTAACATATTCATTTATATATATATATATCAGAGATGACCAGGGGTTGACAGGCTAAAAAATATCGGTGTCAAGACTTGCATAAACCCAAACACAAAATTAATTTAGCTAGCTTCAGCACCGGCCCAGCAAAAATATTATAAACTATTTCAGATTTTTCAAATCAAATAAATCTGAAAATGCTACGGAGCAATTCGGCGAATTTAATTGGGATTAGAGTTTCCCAGCGCAAAAAAAATATTCAGTTAAAAATTGCCTTTATTATTTGATAATAATAAAAAAATATTTATATGGGTAATTACAAAAACTAGCCTTTGAAAAAATTTAAAACTATTGCTTTACATGCGTTTTTATTTATGGTTTCAGCGCAATGATTCTTATAATTCCAAAGCAACAGAGATCACCCGAAAAATAAGATCAAGTTTTGCACTATTGTTGCGTACATAGATTAATTAACAATACAGATAGAATACTAGATGTCGTCTTTTCAAGATTTCATGTTTTTTCGTTCACAATAACCCTGAGGCAGAAGCCTAAAGGAGTTACGCGCAGTATGCTGTCTCTCTGTCTTGTAATTCAACGCATCAAACGTGTAACGCCTTTGGGCCTTTGCTTCAGTGTTATTGTGAACGAAAAAACCCCTAAATTTTGAAAAGCCGACATCTAGTTCTATTTATATTAATCTATGGTATGGTATAGCGAATGGAAACCCTAATTACCGATTAATCTCCTTTTAATCATATTAAACGAAATCTTTCATTATGTCTTTATCTCTTACTTCTTATAGTCTGAAAAGAGGAGGACAATGAGTGAACACTACGTGAAGCCTGGGTTAGAAAAGTATAAAAGAACAATAAGGTAAAAGAAGACGACAATCAGTAATTGAATTAACGTTTAAACTACAGTGTGGTCCACCCCAGGTAACAATTTTTCGGAAAATCCGCGGAAGTTCCCAGGAATCTTTCCTGGAAAATCCGGTAAAAATGTCGACAGAAATTCCGAGGAATTTCTCAAAACCCATTCTGGGGAATTTCTCGTAACCCATTCCAAGGAATTTCTCGTAACCTGCAGTTCCGAGGAATTTCTTGTAACCAATTCCAGGGAATTTCTTATTACCAATTCTGGAGAATAACCGGAGTCAATTCCAAAGATTTTCTCTAGAATTCCTCAGGAATATCTTGACATATTCTTGGAATATTCCTGAGTAAATTCACTAACCAGGACTTAGACCCAATAGTAGTGAATAACTTAACAACTATCTATAGTGCCCCTCGAACTTTTTATATGTATAACCAACTTCCTATAAAGTCAGAATGTTATAGTCGTTATTGATCTTACGCACTTTTGTTACCTCATGCTTAAAAATTAAGACAATTAAAAGATGAAACAATTAAGACAATACAGACTTACCCACAAAGTATGAGACTTCAGAGACGACTATACGGAATTTATTTAGTCTTGATTTTACATTTAAGGTTCCCTACAGCTGTAAACTTGTTTTTACCAAATCATTTTATAAAGACTATATTTAAGGCAGAAACTCAAATGAAATGAGTGTGGTTCTTTTTATTTAAAAAAGGAAAGGTCGGCATAAACGTCTCATCTGTTGTGGGTAACCCTGTATTTAAAAAGGGAAAGGTCGTCATAAACGTCTCATCTGTTGTGGGTAACCCTGTATTTAAAAAGGGAAAGGTCGGCATAAACGTCTCATCTGTTGTGGGTAACCCTGTATTTAAAAAAGGAAAGGTCGGCATAAACGTCTCATCTGTTGTGGGTAACCCTGTATTTAAAAAAGGAAAGGTCGTCATAAACGTCTCATCTGTTGTGGGTAACCCTGTAACTGTATTCATTTTTCAGTGAGAACGTGTTCAGCGGGAGACAATCTATGGTTCTTTGGGAGGAGAACACATATGATTATCAAACAAATAATTCGATTCAATTAAATTCTGTTATCAGAAAACATTCCTGGCGGCCAGGTGGGGTTTTAGATTTATGTAAAGTAGTATGTAAGGTCAGATACTCTGGATGCGCTTCAATAAATAGGTTATAAATGTCGTCTTTCTTGCAGTAGACACTTTAAATCTTCATATGACGTCACTGATACTTATACAAATACTGATGCAAAATGTATTATTTTTTAAATAAATAGTGACGTCATATGAGGATTTAGAGTGTGTACATTGCTATAAAGGTCGTCTTTACCTACATTGGAGCGCATCCAGAGTATCTAACTTTATTTTACAACCTTGGTTGAATGGGAGGTACAGGGTGTCCCACGAAACATGACGGTTGGTGAATAGTTTAAAATGTCTTCTTCCATAATATGTCAAATTGTTTGTTGCCAAAGAGAAAAATAATAAATATTTTATGGCACCCATAATATAGTAAAATTGATTTATAAGTAAAATATATTTTAGTTAAAAAATGTTTAACTAAATTAACAGCAAAAAGTTTTTAATATCTAATACAACATATGGAAGAAGACATTCAAAACTATTCCCCAACTGTCATGTTTCGTGGGACACCCTGTATATAGAAATTATTGTCGGCTTCTTTCTCACATTATAAAATGTGCTCATAAGTTTTGTAATTTGTAAAGTATTCTAAAATTGTTCCTTGAACAGTTTTTAGTACACTTTTTTTAAATTTTATTAAACCAGCATTTCAATAATTTCTAGTTACCACTATGTACAAAATGGTTTCTAGTTACCACTATGTACAAGACGGTTTCTAGTTACCAGTATGTACACAACGGTTTTTAGTTACAACTATGTACAGAACAGTTTCTAGTTACCACTATGTACAGAACGGTTTCTAGTTATCACTATATGTATAGAACGGTTTCTAGTTACCACTATGTACAAAAAGGTTTCTAGTTACCACTATGTTCAGAAGGGTTTCTAGTTACCACTATGTACAGAAGGGTTTCTAGTTACCACTATGTACAGAACGGTTTCTAGTTACCACTATGTACAGAACGGTTTCTAGTTACCACTATGTACAGAACGGTTTCTAGTTACCACTATGTACAGAACGACTCAAATAGGCTCCCAAATCCTTTCTTAAACTTAAAAAAGATGCAAAATCAAGGATTAATTTTAGAGATAAAGTTAAAACGTTGTTTTTGGTAAATAAATTAATTTAAAAGTTTCTAGATGATAATGAGGATGATGATGATGATGATCGAATTCTTCTTAACATTGGTAATTTGTCAGACCTTTATGTTGAGATTGTAAGCATGATTTTAAAGGGGATATATGCAAAAATAATTTAAATGATTTAATAACCCAGATGAAAGACGTAACAATATTTTTCTCATCATTTGTTCGGAGATTTCTTTGAATTTCTTCAAATGTCGTCTTTGCCATAAAATTGGAAGAATCAACATTACAAAGAAGATGACCTAATAGTACTTTCGATATTTTCGATAATACGAGTTAACTTTATTAATTTTCTCAACCTGTTCCTAATCAGTAAGTTAGTTTGTAGAAGAATTTTGTTACATACTGTTCTGGTTTATGATATAATTTCAAAAAAATCGATTCAAAACCAAATGTATCAAATATCTTACAAATTTTCGAATCCCTGACATTATCTTCGTATCTTTGATAAAAGTGCTTCTTTTTATAAAATGTTTTCTGTAAAAAATCAATCTGAGCATATTCCACATTCCATATGGATGCCAGCAAATGAAAATTTTCGCGATTAAATGCGAAATTCAATTTCCTTTCCTATTTCGCAAGCTTTTTCGCGAAAATGAATTTGGCGAAAGAAGCAGAAACGATGCAAAATTTTGTGAAAAATTGAAAAATGTTCGTATTTTTCGCGAAATGATTTCGCTGGAAACCATTCTCTGTACCATACATTGACAATTTTGAACTAACCAACCATAAATTCAATCCAAGTTTCAGGGTTTTTTCTAATTAATTAAATTTTTTACACTAAATTAATGTATTTTAGATAAAGATGATTCCTATTTAGCTTCAGAAGGTAAAATTAATTTCAAAAATGTTACCAAAAAATTTAAAAATTTCAAAATTTAAATTTAAAAACAAAAGAAATTTTCTTATCTTGAATTTTGAGTGGGTCAACCTTTAAAGGGGAAAGCAGGTAAAAGCGGGTAAACGAGGGAGTAACTATGAGTAACCTGGGCAATGCTGGGTTCCCAAGCTAGTAATAAAAAGCAACTGATTAGTCGTCAAAAATCGAATTTTCTAATCCTTTCTTTGCAACAACACAAATATCTACACGGAGATAAGAGAGTACAGAGATCTATTAAGGCTAGAATATGCGATATTTTCTACAACAGGTTCCAATGCATTGTGTACCAATGGAGTACACGACCAATTAGCAGACGCGTTTATATTCAAGGATAGTTAAGGTTCTTTAGAAATGAAATACAAAAACTTCAAAAATAGACTTTATTCATAAATTTTATGGCTCATGTTAAAAATTGGAATATTTCTTTAATAATTGTTCAACTTAACCCCTGAATGGGTGCTAAATGCAACAAGTGGCGGTTAGGTGGCAGTCAAAAATATTTTGTAAGAATATCGCATGTCATGCCGGTACGACTATAGGCCTACTTAGCCCAGCCCGTGATAGCTGATTAGCAGTCTGCATATATCTATTCTGTGGCTGTACACTGTACAGTCTGTATATATCTAGTCAGTGGCTGTACAGTCTGTATATATATTTAGTCTGTGGCTGTACAGTCTGTATATATATCTATTCTGTGGCTGTAAAGTCTGTATATATATCTATTCTGAAGCTGAGAAGTCTGTATATATCTATTCTGTGTCTGTACAGTCTGTTTTTATCTAGTCTGTGGCTGTACAGTCTGTGTATGTCTATTTTGTGGCTGTACAGTCTGTATATATCAATTCTGTGGCTGTACAGTCTGTATATATCTAGTCTGTGGCTGTAACAGTCTGTATGTATCTATTCTGTGGCTGTACATCTGTATATGTCTTTTTTGTGGCTGTACAGTCTGTATATATCAATTCTGTGGCTGTACAGTCTGTATATATCTAGTCTGTGGCTGTAACAGTCTGTATATATCTATTCTGTGGCTGTACAGTCTGTATATGTCTATTNCCCCAACCCTTTGAAAATAAAATTTCGCCCCACCCCCCTGACAAAAGTGCTAGTTACGCCCCTGATTAACAACTACGCATATAAAGAAGATCTTCAGAGAATTGAAAATACTAAACAATAACTAAAAAAACTATTGATCGAATAACTCTTTTCACTTTAAAAAACGTTCATGTTATAAATCACGTGGATCTATCGGTTATGTCAATATTTTAGAAAGCTGTGACTTTCGATCACAATTTATCCCCTTATACATAATTTTACAGCCTTTTTTCTTAAATATTTTTTGTTGGCATATACATTTTGAATGAGAAAGTATAAAATAAACAATTCCATAAGTTTAAAGATTGTAGAAATATAGACGAAACCACGTTTGATATCAAATAAAAAAAACCGAATGCTTCTCTCTCTGGTTAGTTTGGGGTGAAATGTGTACAGGAAAAGAAAAGCGGCTTTTAAAGGGACTGTAAGTGTAATTTCATGTGACCCTCTATGAAGAAATGTTAACCCCCGGTTCACAACGCTACCCTTGAAACATTTATCTGATCAATAATATGAAAAATACTGTTTTATCAAGGTTTAAATGTGTTGAATTCTTATAATTCACATTTACTTTTCAGTAGTAAAAATGCGCAAACCAAAAAAATAATAATTAGTTTTTAAAATTGATATGATTGATTTAAACGGTACTGTTGTCAACCTGTTTTAACGCAAAGTCGCATATGAGAACATTTATGCTTTACATAAATACATATAGATTATTGTATAGATATAAAATAAATAACAAGTTTACTCCAACGCTCACCACCCCCCAACCACCCAAGCCCGCCCTCCTCCTTCACTAAATGTCAAGAAACCGTCATTTATTCTAATAGCATGGGCTAATAAAGCAATCTCAATAGTTTACTTTGACGAATATAGTGAAATAAACATTACCTTTAATCTAACTTTCTTTCTTATGAGTCGGTTAGAAATTGACATTTTTTTGATAAAATCTCACTCATAAAAACTTTCAATATGGTAAGTGGAAATTTATAAATTTTTCTTTGATAAAATATCAATGTTAAAACTAGTTAAAAGGTTTAGAGGGGCGCAAAGCGCCCTAGACCTAGTTATAAACATATTCTTGTATAATTTAAGTATTTATATTGTATAATTATCATATTTGTTGTATAAGTACTCATATTTATTGTAAATAATCATATTGCATTATTAACGTACTATTTTAATTACAGGGTGTCCCAAAAAACATGGGAATTCAGTGACTTGGATATCGTCTTTGTTATGAATTAGCATAGTAAAACCTAAGTTTAAAAGCCATAATATTATTATGTCTGCTAGAATTTATTTTATGAAAAAGGTAAAACTGTAAAGGTGTGTCTATCATGTCTCCGCAAGATGAACAGTGAAGACGGACTAGTTTACTCTGTTTGTACACTGCAATTTTCTTGTTTTACTAAGAACAACCTATGCAGTCAAAACATAAACAAACAAAATGTGAACATAGCAGACGAAACTCTTACTGATTACATACAGTAGGTATCACTTTACTAAATCAAAGAATTATTTAAAAAGACGATATCGAATTCGTCACTCAATTCCCATGTTTATTGGGACACCCTGTAGATAAATAGAAATGTTTTAACGGAATAATCCTGGAACGTTTTTGTTTTTCGTTTGCTAATCTCTATATCTTAGCAACCTGATGGTATAAACCTGTAATATTTTAAACTTAGATTTCTTGATCTAACAGAATTTATAGCTTAAAATCTCTTAGGTCTCCGACATCGGGTTGCAAAGATATATATATTATTAAATCCGCGGTTGTGGGAAAGGCTCAATTCCTTTAGAGATTCCCAATAAAGGTTTGTAAATATGATAATCGTTTTTAAAAACAATTAACAAGAGATAATCATGTGTTTACAAAATATGCGACAACTGAAAAAATCAGTTTTTTCGACTTTAAACCTTTAAAACAGGGCTAGTTGCGCCCCTGAAACCTTTATTTAAGACTGGAAGAAAAAAGCCACCTCCCTACAGGAAAAACACTGTATTGCCCCAGCATTATACGTATTTTAAGATGTTATACTATGAAGTATAAATTACAACGATATATTTGTGAAAATACCATCTCATATAATGAAGGGCTCTATAAATAAAAGAAATATATAAATTATAAGATAAATAAATTCCCTGGGAACAATAATATCATGATGTTATATATATATATACATGTAGATAGATTTACAGATATATCTTTCTATAGTGTAGAATGTCGAAAACAGAACTATGGGAGTAGAATACAGGACTATGGAAAAGAACAAAGTACTTAAGAGTTGAATAAAGGACTAAGGAGTAAAATACAGAACAAAGGAATAGAATATAGGCCTAGAGAGATCAATACAGGACTAGGGNCAAATATACGAGGGGGGGGCACCCATATAACCAATACTTTAAAATCTCATTTTTGCCCATCACTAAAAAGGTTTAGTCAATACTGCCTTCAGTGTAAATATCTTTGATATTATTATTTATAATTATACAATATGTATCGTTTCTATGAAAATATACATATTCTTTAAAAAACGTTTCCATCTCTATGTTTCACCCATTGGAGCTTTCACTACAGTATTAAGAGTAAGTGTGTGATGAGTCCAATTAAGAAAATTACGTAAATAATTTATTAACACTTGTTGTGTAGAAGTATGTATATGATCGAATAATTTACTAGTTAAAAAAGGTATCAATATTTTTTCAAAAAAGAGGTTTTTAAGAGGGGCACAATGTTGCAACGGGGGGCACAAAGTGCCTCCCCCCCACCTTCACAAATGCTCTCATACGCCCCAGTCAGGCGCGTAGTGGAGGGGGCGGTACCCCTGTGCCCCCCCCTAGACATGCACCCCCATAGGCCCCCCTAGAGCCAGAGACAGGCTCTTATTTAAAAAAAAGGAAACTTACATATATATTCAGATTTTTTACTTTTCTTATCAATCGACAATGTCACAATTTGTCCATTTTATGATTATTTCACAAATTCTTTCTTTTACCTTAGTCTTATTTACAATATTTTTTTCGCGGGGTTTCATTTAAAATGATTGGTAATTATGGTCAGACTACTAATAGTCAGCCTTCAGGTAGATTAATAAAGATTTTAAACTTTATTTTTTCTTAAACGGTTTTTTAGGTGGGTGCACATCAACCGTTAGGGGGGTGCATAAAAAAAATTTCGGCCCGCTTACGCGCGGCAAAAGTGCACCCCCCTAGGCTAAACCTCCACTACGCGCCTAGCCCCTCCTCCAACCGTTTGGCCAGCTATAGCTAACATAAATATATAACCTATCTATAAATAAGCATTAGCAAATGTTCTAGACTTATTTAAAAAAATATATTTATATATACGTACAATACATATATATTTTAATGAAGAAATTTTCTAAATAGATAAAAAAAAATCAGTCTATAGTTGCGCGTAGGAGTAATCAGAACTAATGAAGTAAAATGTTTGATAAGATAAAAAATAATAATATTTGCAGGGGGAGGGGATGGGA